CACCTGTTTACTGTGATCTTATTGCATTTATCATATAAATGATAGTTGACAAGTTATTTTGAACCAGTTTTAGTTCTGACACACAAAAGAACCATTGAAGGACTCGAGAAAATGTTAAGTAAAAGGACAAAAATGCGTCTAATGTGACAGTTTATTGTGGCAACGTTTCGCCCTCCAGAAGCTATATCAAACTTGATAAAATGTGGTCAGGTGGCCTAGTGGCTAAAGCTCCCGCTTCACACACGGAGGGCCCGGGTTCGATTCCCGGCGGGTGGAAACATTTCGACACGTTTCCTTACACCTGTTGTCCTGTTCACCTAGCAGCAAATAGGTACCTGGGTGTTAGTCGACTGGTGTGGGTCGCATCCTGGGGTACAAGATTAAGGACCCCAATGGAAATAAGTTAGACAGTCCTCGATGACGCACTGACTTTCTTGGGTTATCCTGGGTGGCTAACCCTCCGGGGTTAAAAATCCGAACGAAATCTTATCTTATTTTATCTTAATCTTGAATAGAATACGGCATATGTGCGGAGAAGCAGCTTATAAACCGTAGGCAGGAGAGGTGCAGTAGACGTAGGTGGTGTTACATTTGTTCAATGTGGAAGTAGGTCGTGCCCAAGGGTTAGGCAAGTGAAGAATTCCACATTGGACAGATGTGACATCACCTACGACTGCTGCACCTCTCCTGCCTACGGTATATAAGATACTTCTCCGCACTTATGCTGTATTCTGTTCAAGATTGATGGACTGACCACATCGACTCAAGGTTGAGGGACTGATTACCTCATTCTCATCCTGTTCTTCAAACTTGATAAAGGTCCTGGAGAGCGAAACGTTGCCACAATAAAATGTCACATTAGTTGCATATGTGTTCTTTTACTGAACATATTGTCGGTAATATTTATACACTCGAGAAAATAAAGCCCTGGGAATTATTCGGCGCTGTCCCATAACTACCAAGATACTAAATATGATGAGAGAATTAAGTATACCTAGTGTTGCTGAAAGAACACATGAAATCGAAGTCGTGACAGGTCTGAAGCTGCTGCTTGGTGATCAAAACAATGTCTTTAATAAATTATAGCTAGAACATATAATTCATGGGACAAGTGAGTGAAGCTACATTCATATTAATGTCAAATATATAAAAATGTATGGACTAAATTAGCTTCATCATGCTAGGAAAAAACAGCTTTCAGTGCCTCCTTGACAGATAACAGCTATCGATATCTCTGTGACCGCTAACTTCCCCAAGAAACTTATCATACACAATCCTTAACTTCGATCACATTCTAAAATGAGTTCTCTGGAACACATACAAGACATCAGGACAAAGAATATCACACAGACTGTCTACGCTGATGGCTTCCTTAACTCTGACAGCAGGAGGGCGGGTAGTGATGTTATTGTAAACCGGGCTGATGGTATTATAATAGCCTGAGACTTGAATGTAGCACGTGTGTGAAGCTAGGCACAGATATTCACAAACTGAGAATTGGATTGCAGTCAAATTTCTGTGAATCCCCTGTCAAACAGGACTCAAGGAGCATGACAAAGTTGATGAATTACCGAATAAGCATTAAATAAATAGAATGCTGAGTATAATTTTGTGTTTTTTAAAAGAACCCCTTTTAGCATCAGTGAAAAACTAGCAAACGAGCTTGAACAAAGTATAACAATACAGACAGCAACTAGCAGATCCATTATCGATCATAATGAAATGTCTCAGGTTAAATATATCTATAGAGAAAGTAACAAAGTCAGTAGATTGCAATATGTTGTGACTGCTGTACTAAGGCTTGGCTATAAGTATCTCTGCCAATACGGATTGTATGGAGTTCTCAATGACAACTCCATACATTTATGGCCTACTGATATGTAAAAGAGCGTTGAAGAAGATTCCTGACAAGAGGTTAAGTTACGATGTAGAAGCCAGTGTTCTGGCTGAAATTTTTAGATATGCACATAAGTGATGATACTAAGATCCTGCGTGTATGGATTTCTTCCTCCTTGGTAATGATGCGCGACTCATCAAATGCCGGACGTGTGGGAGAGAGCAAATGTAGTCCCAATTTTTAAGAAAAGAGACAAACATATAGTGTTAAACTAAAGACCCGTATCACTGACATGCATATTATTTAAAATTATGAAGAATATAATCACGAAAGCACTTAGAACGGTGTTGTCTCTTAAATAACTTTGGAATAGCAAATCCTCTCACAAACCTACTGGAGTTCTACGACAAGGTAACAGAAGCAAGGGAGGTTAGAAGAAGGCTTTTTACACACTACCGAATAAAAGAATAGTTTAAAAGCTAGAGGAGCAGGCAGGAATAACAGGGAAAGCACTACAATGTATCATGGCACATGTGATGGGAAGGAAACAACGAATGGCCGTCCGTGAAGAGGTGTCGGAATGGTTATATGTGACAAGTACTAGGCCAGAGCCATTTCTCGTGTAAGTGAATTACATGCAGAAAAGAAGAGTCCACGGTATCCTTGTTAGCAGGTGACGTGAAATTAATGAAAATAATGAAAGCAGAGGCGGACAAGGAAAGGCTATAAACGAATCTGGACAGGCTGAAAGTCTGCTCAGATACATGGCTCTAAGAGTTTAACCCCAACAAGTGCAAAGTTATAAAGTTTGGGGAAGTGCAAAGATTGAGTACAGGTTCGGGGGGCATATGCTGCTAACCTCACAGACATGGGTCACTTGCTCAATATTTGGGTATCTCTGTTCTGGAAACGTTTTGCCAGCCAGTGGTTACTTCAGTTCAATGCAGAAAAAAATGTGGAAGGCGAGGAGGACTTTGAGGTAATCAGTCCCTCCAGAATACAATTCTGGTAAACGAAGTGAAGGTATGGTACACGAACGCAGAAAGAAAAACGAATAAGGTGAGGACTGGCATGAATCATGGAAGCAACCCAAGACATCATAGCTCTCACAGAAACCAAGCTCAATGGAATGATAACAGATGCAATCTTCCCAAATGGATATTAGGGCTGCATTGCTCACCAAAAACCAGTGTTGATTTGAAGTGTTGGAAGCAGTGGACAGAAGGGAAGGAAGTGACAACATAGTAGAAACACTTCAGACTCGGGGGGAGAGGGGTTCAAGTTGGTGATTGCAGTCATGTACAACCCACTGCTGAATAGCAGGAGGCCAAAAAATGAGTACGATGAGAGCAACAGAGCAAATGTTGATACACTAGCTGAGGTTGCCATAAGGGCCCACATGGGCAGGGCAAAGTCACTACTTGTGGGTGATTTCAATCACTAGGAGATTCACTGGGAAAACCTCTAGCCAAATGGGCAACCAGAAACGTGGAGGGGCTAAGATGATGGAGGTTGTACTGCAAAACCTAAAGCATAAACATGTTAGAACAGGGACACTATCAGGAGATGAGAGGATGATTCTGCAAGGCTGGACCTCATATTCACCTTGAGTAGTGCCGACACTGGGGACATCACATATGAAAGGCCCCTTGGAGCTAGTGATCACGTGGTCCTGAACTTCAAAGACATTGTAGAGCTAAAAGTGGAGAGGGAAGCAGCAGGAGTATGACAGGAAAAATCAAACTATAAAAGAGGGGACTACACAGGCATGAGGAATTTTCTGCAAGAGCTACAGTGTGAAAAAGATCTGGTGGGAGAAACAGTAAATGAAATGATGGAATATGTGACCACAAAATACAAGGAGACAGAGGAGAGGTTCATACCAAAGGGGAACAAATCAATGGGAATACCAGAATGAGCCCATGGCTCACCAAAAGAGTAGAAAGGCCTAAACTAAGTGTGCTAGAGAATGAAAAAATTATAGAAGACAAAGAACCCAGTAAAATAAGGAGACAAGGAGGGATCCCCAGCAGCAATACAAGAATGACATAGCACTGGAAGAGAAATCTGACCTAAAGCTGTTGTACAGCCACATCAAAAGGAAAACAACAGTCATGGTTTAAGCACTCAGGCTGAGAAAGGAAGGAGGGGAGATTACAAGAAACTAACAAAGAGTGTGTGAGGTGCTCAATACGAGATTTAAGGAAGTGTTTTCAGTGGGGACAGGAAGAGCTCCAGTAAACCGGAATGGTAGGGTATACCAACAAATACAGGACACACTACACAAAACAGAGGTGGAAGTGAAGAGGCTGCACAGCGTATTAAATATCTCAAAGGACCGGACATCTCTCCATGGGTTCTGAGAGGGGGAGCAGAGGCACTGTGTGTACCACTAACAACAATCATCAACACATGTATGGAAACAGGGCAACTGCCTAAGGAGTGGACGACAGCAAACATAATCCCAGTATTTTAAGAGAGGAAGCAAATAGGCTGCTTTAAACTACAGACTAGTATCACTGATACATATAGTATGCAAAGTCGTGGAGATGCACATGAGAAGAATGGTGGAGAACCTAGAAAGAAATGAGCTTATACACGATAATCAGCACTGCAGAGAAGGGAAATCCTGTGTCACAAATCTACTGGAGTTTTAAAAAAATGTGAAAGATGTAAGACATGAGAGGGATGAGTAGACTTCATACTCACGGACTGTAAGAAGACTTTAGACACACCTCACCTGCCGACAGTATATAAGTCTCCACACCATCGCTTGTTCTTTACATTGTTTTAGACTATGAAACATGTTTCCTTTGTGTCTTACTTGCCATGTACATACGTACATGAATACGTACGTACATGCATATAAACATGACTACAAAAAACTAATTTATATAGTGTTTCTGTTTTACAGTTTCATTATGGTACTTCAGTATTCCTGTTGAGTGTATAGCGGTAGAGGCGGGTGGTTATGGTATACAGGGATACCTTTCTTAGATCACACACCTACTGAATAAAACCATTTTACTTCGTGCTACATCGTAAATATATTTATTTACAGCTGAAATACAGATAATATAGGACAAAATATGAAGAATGACAAAACTATACGTGATATACATACAGACAGTACAGAGAGTAAATGAACTGAGATAATTCTCACCATGCCCATCAGAATGTTTCCATCTGCGTATCTCGACTGACCAGACTCGGAGAAATGTTGTGTCCCAGGATTACTGAGATTGTAGGGTTTGTTTGTGGGTGATATTAACAGATGACGGATGTAGGAAATCAAAGCTGGGTCCTCCTGGGACGCCCCTTGGTATGTCTTCTCAGTTAAAACTCGTTCACCAAATATATTCCTTATAATATCTGTAGGCAGTTGCATTATTAATTTCATAATACTGATTTAAAACACTAATGAATGAAACCACCAACATGTTTTTCTAAAATATTAAGAGTTGCAAAAAGTACAAATATTTCCCAGAGAAATTAAATCAAATAATAGTATCTTAAGTGAACGAATTAAGACTAAAACTTATTTTGTGAGAGGAGACGCATCAAAGGAGGAGCAAAATATTCATATTAATTAAAGCAGAGATACAAAAAAGGGATAAATGTTAAATGAGACGGTAAAATGAAAATAACATTTAAGTTCAAAACAAATTCCTAAGGTACACAATTTCTAACAACAATAGCCTATTGGTTTTCACATACGAAAACACGAAGGCTAACCTTGCAAATAACAGTTATAGAGATAATCTGTATAAAATAAATTATATATGATCACAGTCACCGGGAACATAATTATCATGCAAGTAAACAAATTCTAGGAACACCGCACTTTTTTTATGGAAATTTGCTAACTAGCCTCTTTAATATATTACACCAAATGAGTGTGATGCAGGAGATGTAAATCCTGTCATCAAATAAGCCTGGGAAGGGTAGCCCAAAATAAAAGAAAATCTTTCACCATTATTCACATTATCAGTGCCTTGCTAGAGGGGCACTGATACTACAGCTCAAAACTACAAATATCACCACCTCTCCTTCGTAGTGCAGGCACTATATGTTATGGAAGTGGGACCCAACCTGTGTTTATGTATCTGTAACAGTTACTCTGGAATAACTAATTATATTGAATTGATGCGGGCACAACTGTTTTAATGGCCATAAGGCAGATTACTCTTAGGGGCTGAGAGTCAGCTGAGTTAAGCCTGCTTTTCTCAATATAGTAGGCTGCTCTCTAGACACACGCACATTAAAATAAGTAGTTATTAAGTTGTATTTCTTTTGTAAAAGTAAAATAAGGTGTGGTAATGGGAAAAACATTTTTTTTGGTGGCTAGATAATTGTACATTGCGACAGTCTTTTGGTTGTTTTGGGTGAGCTTCTAGGAGTAGCCTAACTTGGTCTTGCTCTCTGCCTCACTCTGCTGGTGGCTTCAAGCTGGTAGGATTCTCCTTGTCCTTCTTACTTCTGGGAAGGCTGAGCGCCCCCTCAGAGGTAAGATGTATACCTTTAAGTGATGTAACCATTGTACCCAGGGTGGCTACAGTGTGTCAAAACACTGGGTTAAGGCCCTAAAGAGAAAAAGAGGGCTAATTGTCTCAGTAGGAACCACGTGATTGCTGGAGCAGCTAAGAGTTGGGTACATGTTTGTAAGGAATAGGCAGAGGCGAAACCTGTATATTTTGTATATATATATATATATATATATATATATATATATATATATATATATATATATATATATATATATATATATATATATATATATATATATATATATATCAATAACAACACTGCACTAGCCAAGGATTCGAACCCATGCTGCTTTGGCCTGCCTCATGATGAGCAAAAACACATGACGCCCTTATCCACTGAACCATACGATCCTTAAGAGTAGGGCATCCAGCGGAACTGGATGTTGTACTCCCTACCCAAGGACACACGATGGTGTGGATGACTCTAGGCTAATTTCATTCTAGTCCCTGTTTGGTGTACTAGTTCAACGAACGGTATTTTATATTATTGTGACCACGAACGAGTGGTATTGATCAATAACAACACTGCGCTAGCCAAGGACTCGAACCCATGTAGTTTGTGACTATAGGAGGGTGGGTGCAGGAGGAAAGAGGAATGACTGGTGGAATGATGCAGGAAAGGGTACTATAAAAGAGAAAAATGTAGCTTATGAGAGGTTTTTAAACAGCAGAAGAAACATAAGAAGGGCAGAGTATATGGAAAGTATAAGAAAGGTGAAAAGAGTGGTGAGAGACTGCAAAAGCAGTGCAAATGATAGAGTGGGAGACGCACTGTCAGAAAAATTTTCTGAGAATAAGAAAAAAAAAATTTGAAGTGAGATAAACAGGTTAAAAAATCTTAGGGAACGAGTGCATTTGTCAGTTAAAAAGAGTAGGTGAGTTAGTAGATGGGGAGCTGGAGGTATTGGGAAGATGGTGGGAATATTTTGAGGAAGTTTCAAACGTTGATGATGAAAGGGATGTGGTAACTTCATGTACTGGTCAAGGAGATATAACGTCTTTTAGGAGTGAAGAAGAGCAGGATGTGAGTGTGGGGGAGGTGCGTGAGGTATTACGTAGAATGAAAGGGGGTAAAGCAGCTGGAACTGACGGGATCATGACAAACATGCTAACAGCAGGGGGAGATACAGTGTTGGAGTGGGTGGTATTTTTGCTTAATAAATGTATGAAAGAAGGGAAGGTACATAGGGATTGGCAGAGAGCATGTATAGTTCCTTTATATAAAAAGGAAGGGGCACAAAAGAGATTGTAAAAAATATTGGGAATAAGTTGACTGAGTATACCAAGTAAAGTGTATAGTAGGGTTATTGTTGAAAGAATTAGAGGTATGAGAGAGAGCAGGACTGCAGATGAGCAAGGAGGCTTTAGAGTGGGTAGGGGATGTGTAGATCAAGTGTTTACATAGAAGCATGTATGTGCACAGTATTTAGATAAAAGTAGGGAAGTTTTCATTGCATTTATGGATGTAGAAAAGGCATATGACAGACTGGATTAGGGGGGAATGTGGCAGATTTTGCAAGTGTATGGAATAGGTAGTAAGTTACTAAATGTTGTAAAGAGTTTTTATGAGGATAGTGAGGCTTAGGTTAAGGTATGTCGGAGAGAGGAAGATTACTTCCCAGTAAAAGAAGTAAATGCTAGGGTGTTCGGTAGTGGGGGTGGGATTAAATTATGGGGAATCAAATACAAAATGGGAGTTGACACAGTTACTTTTTGCTAATGATACTGTGCTTATGAGTGATTCTAAAGAAGAGTTGCAAAGGTTAGTGGACGAGTTTGGGAGGGTGTGTAAAGGTAGAAAGTTGAAAGTGAACATAGAAAAGAGAAAGGTGATGAGGGTATCAAATGATTTAGATAAAGAAAAACTGAATATCTCATTGGCGGGACGGAGTATGGAAGAAATGAATATTTTCAGATATTTGGGAGGTCACTTGTCAGCGGATAGGTTTATGAAGGATGAGGTTAACCATAGAATTGATGAAGGAAAAAAGGTGAGTGGAGCCTTGAGGTATATGTGGAGACAAAATAATGTTATCCATGGAGGCAAAGAAGGAAATGTATGAAAGTATAGTGGTACCAACACTCTTATATGGGTGTGAAGCTTGTGTTGTAAATGCTGCAGCGAGGAGGCAGCTGGAGGCAGTGGAGATGTCGTGTCTAAGGGCAATGTGTGGTGTAAATATTATGCAGAGAATTCGTTGTGAGGAAATTAGGAGGAGGTGTGGAGTTACTGAAAGTATTAGTCTGAGAGCTAAAGAAGGAGAGAATGGAACAAAGTAGAATGGCATGGAGAGTATATGAATCTTTAAGGGAAGGAAGGCGGGGTAGGGGTCATCCTTGAAAAGGTTGGAGGGAGGGGGTAAAGGAGGTTTTGTGGGCGAGGGGCTTGGACTTCCAGCAAGTGTGCGTGAGCGTGTTTGACAGGAGTGAATGGAGACCTGAGCAGAGTAATATTTTGTGAAAGGATTTGGGGAAACCGGTTAGCCAGACTTGAGTCCTGGGAATGGGAAGTACAATGCCTGCACTTTAAGGAGGTGTTTGGGATACTGGCAGTTTAGAGGGACATCTAAACCGTCGCATCTCAGCACCTCTGCAAAGATAGTGATAATTATGTGTGAGTGATAGTGAAAGTGTTAAATGATAACAGATATTCTTTTGTTTTTTGGATCACGACCGACGTGTTTATATATATATATATATATATATATATATATATATATATATATATATATATATATATATATATATATATATATATATACACACATAATGTGTGTGTGTATTTATATTTTATTTCCAGTTTTTACTTAAATATATATGTGTATGTGTGTGTACGTTTGTGTGTGTCTGAGAGTGTGTGTTCGAGAGCAACAATATCTTACCTGCATCATAAAAGTTTATTACTTGCAATGGGTATTTACTGGTGCCAATAGTGAAAAATATTGTGAGGAAAACCATTGCAAAGATAAAGAGAAGAGCTGCACCACAGAGCTTCCACAACCCATGATGAACACTCTGCATCCTGTACAAAAATATTACATATTATTCTTCTGAAATACTCGGAAAATAGCCAGTAATGAAAATTTTGAAGTAACATAGAATAAATAGAGAGAGAGAGAGTTTGTGTGTACTCACCTAGTTGTGGTTGCAGGGGTCAAGTCACAGCTTCTGGCCTCGCCTCTTCACTGGTCGCTACTAGCTCACTCTCTCTGCTCTATGAGCTTCATCATACCTCTTCTTAAAGCTGTGTATGGATCCTGCTTCCACTACATCACTTCCCAGACTATTCCATTTCCTGACAACTCTGTGATTGAGAAATACTTCCTAACATTCCTGTGATTCATCTGAGTCTTCAGCGAGTGATGATATGAAACGAGGTGATGAGCGGGTTCATTCCGAGGTCCGATGCTGTTTCTGGTATATGTGAATGACATGACGGAAGGAATATACTCAGACGTGTGCCTGTTTGCAGCCGATGTCAAGATAATGAGAAGAATTCAATCGGAGGGGGACCATGCGCGACTACAAAGGGATCTGGACAGGCTACAGGCCTGATCCAGCGAATGGCTCCTGGAGTTAAATCCCGCCAAGTGCAAAGTCATGAAGATCGGAGAAGGGCTTCGCCCTGCTCGCATGAGCCCTTCTGGCCACATCAGCCAGTGTGTCAACCATCCCTCTGTTACTCTCATCACACTCTTGCCTTGGCCTTCTGCTGTTCTGTGGTGGGTTAAACATCACTGCAATCACCACCTTGGGACCTCCAGACTGAAGTGTTCCTATTATGTAGTCGCTTCTCCTCTGTCTCCTCTCCAGCTCATCAAAATTTCATTGTTTTTTAATTAATGGCCAGTGTGTGTGTGTGTGTGTGTGTGTGTGTGTGTGTGTGTATGTGTGTGTGTGTGTGTGTGTGTGTGTGTGTGTGTGTGTGTGTGTGTGTGTGTGTGTGTGTGTGTGTGTGTGTGTGTGTATGCGTGCGTGTGTGTACTCACCTAGTTGAGGTTGCAGGGGTCGAGTCCAAGCTCCTGGCCCCGCCTCTTCACTGGTCGCTACTAGGTCACTCTCCCTGAACCGTGAGCTTTATCATACCTCTGCTTAAAGCTATGTATGGATTCTGCCTCCATGTAGACAGCCTGTACTGTCTGCATAGACAGCCTATGCTGTCTGCCAGCTTAGTTCATATTTTGCGCCATGCTTGTACTGCCACCTATAGGTCTTGCCACTTCAGTATGCCCAGACTTGCCTCTGTCTCACTCTGGCGACACCCTTCACTCAGTCAAGAAGTGTCCACTCCTCTCTCCCTCGTGGGCATTGCCCTCCCGGGCCATGGTCACAACACACAAGCCTGTGTACCCACCACGACTTGACAATAAAGTAAGAAGCCTCTGAAGACTTATCATTTGCTCCCCACTACCAGAACACCAAACAAACTGGTTATAAATGGTGGGAAGCAATGGTCGCAGCAGTTGTGTTTGCCCGGAGAGAGGAAGGAAGGAATTCAAATTCAAATTCAAATTCAAAGTTTATTCTCTATAAAGATTACAATGTTGAATTTACAGAATTTGGTTGTTGTGTGGTTTACATGTAGTTAAATAATGATTACAGAGTGTACCACTAGAACGCCTAGCATGGCTAGGCATTTCGGGCAGACTTAGTTTAATTCTTTATTTTAAAATATTACAAATTATGAGGTAAGTTGGTATTATGGCTAAGTGACTAAATACTAGTTTGTGAGTTTAGCAATGTGAATGCTTTTGTTTTGGCACAGTACATAGTTTCAGTATTGGAGTATCATAGGATTCATTATTTTAAGATTGAGATTAATATTTCTGTTTATGGTCAAATGGTGAGTGAGTGTAAGTGTGAACCACCATGTGGTATTCGTGTAGTTAGTTGTTTGGGGGTTATCAGGGAGATAAGATGTTTTCTAAGGGTAGTTTTGAAGGTGATGAATGTGTCTGCAGTTCTAATTTCTCAGGTGGGGTGTTCCAGATTTTAGGGCCTTTGACATACATTGAATTTGTGTAAAGTTTAGTCGGACATGGGAATGTTGTAGAGATGTTTGTGTCTGGTGTTATGCCTGTGGGTTCGTCACAACTATCAAGAAAGCGTTTTAGGTCAAGGTTGATATTGGAATTTAAGGTCCTGTAGATGTAGATTGCACAGTAATAAGTGTGGATGTACTGAACAGGGAGTAAGTTTAGATCTATGAAGAGTGGGGGGGGTTTTGCCAAGGGATGGGATTTATGATTATTCTTACTGCAGCTTTTGTTGGGTTATTATTGGCTTTAGGTGTGTTTTCTGCAGTTGATCCCCCAAGCACAAATAGCATAGGTGAGGGATGGATAAATAAGTGAGTGGTATAGTGTGAAAGGGCATATTGCAGCACGTAGTATCGTATCTTGGAGAGGAAACCCAACTGTTTTGGATACTTTTTTGGTTATGTGTTGATATGGGTGCTGAAATTCAGGTTTGTTGTCAAGGTATAGGCCTAGGAATTTGCCCTCATTATGTCTGGTAATTAGAGTGTTGTCGATCTTAATGTTAATTTGTGCATCTCCTGCTCTGCATCAAACATAAAATAGTAGGTTTTGTCAGTGTTAAGCGTAAGTTTATTGGCTGTCATCCAAGTCGATATTTTGATCAGCTCCTCGTTAACAATGGTGTTGAGGGTGGCAAGATTAGGGTGAGAGATGACATAAGTCGTGCGTCAGCAAAGAGTAATGGGTTTCAGGTTTTGGGGATACGTTTGGAAGATCATTTATGTATAGAGGAAGGCGGGGGACCAAGGACACTTCCCTGCGGAACTCCAGTATCAAGTGGCCGTGTTGTTGATGCTGTGTCTTTAACGGAAACTTACTGATACCTATTAGTAAGGTAAGTTTTGAAATAACAAGCGCATGGCCTCTTATACCGTAATGATAAAGGGTTTGTGGAGTAGGATGTCGGGTCTACTGTGTCAAAAGCTTTTCTTAGGCCAATAAAAATTCCTAGTGGATATTCCTTATTTTCCAATGCTGTGTAAAGCAATCTAGCATTTTTATGATTGCATCATTAGTGCTTTTATTTTTCCTAAATCCAAATTGGCGGGGGTTTTGAGTATGTTTTGTGCTTTATAAATGAATATAGTCTCCTGTGCACGAGTTTCTCAAAGATTTTGGATAGCAATGGTAAGTTTGATATTGGCCTATAGTTGTTTAAGTCTGTAGGGTCCCCACCTTTATGTATTGGTGTAACCCTTGCCATCTTGAGTAGTTTCGGGAAGGTGCTAGTTTCTAGTGACTTGTTAAAAAGAAATTTGAATAGCATGCAAAAGGATATGGGCCACTCGCTTGTACAGTAATGGTGGGACATTAGACAGTTCCCTGAGTTGTTTTTAAGTGACTTTATAATCTCGGTACTTCCGAGGGCTCAGTTGGTGCAAGATAGAAGGAATTTGGGAAATTCCCATCTATGTAGTCCCCCGGCATGGGCATTAGTATGTGGGATTTTATTGGCGAGATTAGATCCTAGGGTTGAGAAGAAGTCTTTTATCTTGTTAGCTGTGTCAGTGGGATGTAGTGGTTTTTCATTAGGTTTAGTTAGGACAATATCTTGTTTTTATCAGTTTGGGGCCCCTAGAATCAGAGAGAGTTTTTTCCCCAGGTCTTTTTTATATCTCCTCTAGTGTCTGGAATCTACTGGGTAGTATAGTTGTTTGGCTTTTTTTAAATTACTTTGGTGAGAACTGATGAATAGTGTTTAAGAATATCTTTGTGTATTAAGCCCTTCTATATTGCTTTTCATATTGGTGTTTCTTGTCAATGGATTTCAGAATGGTACTGGTTAGCCATGGGCAACCAAGCCGTTTGTTTGTGATCTGTTTCGTTTTTATAGGACAATGTTTGTTGTATAGTCTAAGTAATTTGTTAAGAAAAATGTCTGTCCAGTCATCAATACCATTGGCCTTGGAGAATTCTGTAGGCCAGTCAACAATCTCTAGGTCTGTAGTGAACTTCCTTATTGAGGCTTCGTCATGGAGTCTAAATGAGACTTTGTTGTATTCAAGTGGTGGTTTATTAATGTTTGTCAGGAGGAAGGTAGGGTAGTGGTCTGTAGTGCTATCTGTGATTATCCCTGATTGTTGATGAAATCAGTTACAGGCTGATCATCTAGTAAGCCAAGGTTGATGTTGAAGTCTCCAGCTAAGAGAAGGTGGTGCTTATTCATTTGTCTGTTTGTTATTAGTGACTTTAATTTCTCACTGAAATTTGGGATGTTTGTGTGAGGTATCCGGTAAATGGCACCGATTATTATAGGTGTCTTAAGGTTTTTTACAGTAAAATTAGCAAAAATGTATTCCCCATATTCATCACTAAAGCAAGTGGTGCTAATACAAGATAACTGGTTAGAGTAATAGATTGCAATACTACCCCCAACTTGGTTTGGTCTGCAGTTGTGAATTGCTGTGTATCCTGGTAGAGGGTAGATATCTATTGTGTCCTGCTTAAGCCAGGTCTCACTAAGAATAATGCAGGAGAAGGGTGTCTTTAGTGATTCAAGGAGTGCCAGGAGGTCATCATAGTGTTTGCTTAAGGACCTGATGTTGTAGTTAAGTACTGATAGGCTTTTAGCATTGTTTAGGATAGTGCTGGCTTGTGATGCTGTGTAATAAAGGCAGATACTTTCCAATAGGTTTTGATTGGGTGTCAGATTATGGAGGTTTAGATCAGGGTCAACGTGATCATCTTCACTTTATCATCCCACACAAGAAGCATCCGTCTCTCAGCGAGTTATCCTGATATCGTGTCTGCACGTTTGAGCATCCAGACACAGGTACAAGCAGGATCCAGCCGAAATTTGCCGAATTTCTTCGAGAATTGTAAGTGGCGTTCCAGTGACCCCACGCTACAGCATCCCACACTGTTTCTCAAGTCACGTGTTCAGCGTCACTTGTATGTTGCTGTTGTTGTTCAGCTCAGCACAGCTGTTTCAGCAAGCCAGAGGTGAACTTTGTGGTAATTTCTGCGTCCAGTGTGTTTCCCT